AGGAGCTGGGAGAAGGATGAAAAAGATGAAGGGAAATAAGAAGTACAGACTTACAGTTACAAAATAAATAAATCACAGGGATATAATGTACAACACAGGGAATATAGCCAATTATATCATAATAACTTTGTATGATTACAGATGGTTAATAGATTTATCATGGTGATCACATCGTAAGGTATATAAATGTTGAATAACTACATTGTACATGTGAAACTAATATAATATTGTGCGTGAACTATAATATTTTTTGCATTTTTTATTGTTGTTCAAGTACAGTTGTCTCTGTCACTTTAAGTTTTTTTTTTAAAGAAATATATTTGTTTTAATTTTTTAAAAAATTATGTCTCAAGGGTGCAGGGCTGCAAAGTAAAAAGGACAGATATTTTGAAATGAGATGAACTGGGTTGTAAAACAGGACCCTCTTCTTTCTGGCTTATTAACCAGAGCAAGTAATTTTATTTATATTAGCTTCAGTGTCTTAAACTATAAAATGTGACAACTAATATGCCCCTAGGTAGTTGTGGAGGAGGTTAAGTAAGGTAGTGTATGATGGTATAGTTTGGCACGTCGCAGGCATTCAAACATCATAGTTTTCATTAGTGTCATCATCGCGGTCCTCATAACAGTGTCAGGATGTTTCTCTTCTCCTCTCCTGCTCGGTAACTGTACCTACCCTCCCTACAGTGTCCAGGAGTCCAACCTGGGAAACCCAGAAGGCTTACTTATTGTATTAATAACATCTTGAAAGTACCTTTGGCTTGTTCAAAGCAAAATGTCTTTATTTTTTTTAATCTACACAAAGCATCTTATTTACCTATAATATTTTCTTCTGAAATACCTTGCCACATTAGTTTCCTAATATAACAAATTACCATAAACTGGGTGGCTGAAAACATTTATTCTCTATGTTGTAGAGGCCAGAAGTCTGAAATTAAGGTGTAGGCAGGTCCAAGCTCTCTTTGTGACCCTAGGGGAGAATCTTGGGGTACCTTGACTTATATGAGATGCATCATTCTGGTCTCTGCCTCTGTTCTCACATGGCTTTCTCCTTTTGCCTTTGTGTCCCTCTTCTTCTAGGACATCAAATATTCGAGTAGGACCCACCTAATCCAGTATAACTTCATCTTAACTCAATACCTTTGCAAATACTATATCTCCAAATAAGATCACTTCACAGGTGCTGGGGGTGAGGACTGCAACATATCTTATAGGAGGACACAATTCAACCCACAACACTTGCACGTAGACCCTATATATTTACTTTAGACCAGGTTTCTGAATGGACATATGCAACATCAGTTTGGGGGGTGTGTTTCATTTTTCCTCCAACTAGTAATTTAATCTCGCTGTGGCTTCAGCAAATGTTTTGAAGTGTCTAATGGGAGGTAATGAAATCTATCTTGTTTTTTCACTTTTGTAAAGAAAGGAATCCTATACAGGAAAACAAGATGTGTAGGGAAAGTACTTTAAAACTGTTAGAATGGTACTGAAAAGCAAGAGTTAAAAGGGCAGCCACTCCATTGAAAAGTCTGTTTACAAGCATTTATGACTTGGGTGTGAACTGGCCATTCAAGCTTAGAGAGCCTTGGATTGATATGAAGCTCAGGCTGCTGAACTGTGAGGAGAAGTTGACTGAACAGAGTTTTGGCCACTTATACCCCTGATTAGAGCATTTTAAAGGCAAGGAAAAAAACCCAAGAGAGCATGGATGTGGTCAACTGCTTGTTCCTTCAATGTGTCTGTGGGTCGCCGCTGCCTGTAGCCGAGTCCAGGGTAGGTTATGGCTTTTTAGATATTGTTGTTTGTTGTTGGTGCCAGGTTTGTGGTTCCCGGTACAATCGCACTCAAAGTGCATTCCCCAGAATGAATGTATATTGTATTTCAACAGCAGGTAAACTTTGCAAAAAGATTAGTCTTGGAGTATGCATCCAAGTTCACATTTTTTCTACGAGGAATGTAAGTCACTTCTGGCCAAGGATCACTGTCAGAATATGAGCTTAAAGTTGAGGGACTTTACATTGTTCCCTGCCTTCCTCCTTCCTTCTGTTCGTTTGCTAGGAGAAATTGGAGATTTAGTTTTATATATTCTTCTGTTAACTAGCTTTTGCAGTTCCTGGAACTTTGGTACCACTTGTATGTCTTCAGTGGGGCTGTGTATAGTTGCAGTGGAATTTGATTGGTTCTCAGGGGTGCTCCCAAGTGAGGCAGTAGCACTGAGGCAGGATGTGTTAAGGGACTACAGCTGGTAGCACCAGCTGTCCCCTGCTCTCACGGCCTCCATCACTTCCTGGACTGTGGCCTCAGAAGGATTTGTTTCCTGAATAGCTAAGACAACTTGTTTTACTTAGCCCATTTTCTTATTTTCTTTTTAGCATCAGTGAGGAAAACAAGTTGTAATGTTGCATAAGTGCAGACAAAGGCACATGCAGACTTGTAATCAGACTCTCATTGCCCATGATTTTGTTGAACTTCTGTTTTCTAGCATGTTGTTTCTGAACCTTTTTATCATAGGGTGATAATACAAGTGGGCTTAGTCTCATTGCTTGCTTAAACTGTCTGTGCCATTAGATGTGCTAATTTAAACTATCCATAATAACCTTTTTCTTATGTAATGCAAAAAATAATATTAACTTTTCTGTGACTTCTACCCTTTGAGGTTTATGCTTAAGGGTATGAGAATTAAAGTTGACAAGAGACAAATTTGCAAAAGAAAAGATAAATTTTTATTCCTATAGGTTAAGTGGGAGTTCACAGAAAAGTGTTACTCCAGAAAATGGTTAGGTTTTGGGGCTTATGTACCATCCTAATGAGGGAGAAGGGTGCTGATGGGAAAACAAGTAACTTTTTAGGAGAGACAAATGAGGCTGAGCAGAACTGGTGGGACATAGGATGGTTTTGTAACCATGCCTGTTTAGGTGAGGACTTCTGCTCAGGAGTGGTAAGAGTCCATCTTCTCTGGCTGGGAGAAAGAATGTCTATCCCAAAGGAGAAGATTTATGACAACTGAGTTCTTCTGTGGGTCCGTGCTTTTAGGCAGGTGAGGGAGTTCAGGAAGAAAATACCTCCAGCTCAAAACAGTTTTTAGACCACAGCAGTGTATTCTGGACCCCTTCAGTGGTGACTTGAAATAAAGAAAGCATCCCGGGTAGTAAGAGTCAGTAGGTAGTAAGGTCATTGATGATTGCTAGAACCCAGTGTTTTTTTGTTTGTTTGTTTGTTTGCTTTTGGGGTTTTTTTTTGTTGTTGTTTTTTGTTTTTGTTTTTAGCAAAGGTGAGAAAATTCTGTGGTATAGTGGGAACAGAAATTACCAGGCCCACATTTCAGTGTCTCTCTTGCTGCTAATTGACTGTGTGACCCTGAGCAAGTCATTTTACTTCCCTAGGTCACAGTTTTTCTCATTTGAAAAATGATGGGCACAGAGTGGAGTATCTGTAAATCCTTTCCTGCTTCCTTTGCTCTTCAACACACTTTTCATGGCATGAGATCTTAGGTAATTCTTAGATGCATTGGGTTGGAAATTTCAGGATCTGCATTTTAGGTCTCAGTTGCCATTGACTGGCAAGAGATGGGACTTCTCACCTGCAGTGCTCATGGGCGGGGCTGGCCTGGTCTGCAGCAGGGCTTGCTCTGCCTGCGCTGCAATCACATGACTTTTCTGGTTAATTTGGTTCTCTTCTGGTGCCTGGTTCAGCTTTTATTGTATTTTTAAATAATGTATAGAATGGAAGAACCAAAGGCACCTGGGCCCCCAGACCTGTGACTGGTGGCTCACAAACTGTGGTGAGCCCCTCTCCCTGCTCCCTCTGTAGAGCTCTGAGACCAGACTTGGAGGGGTCTGCTGAGATAGGTTATCTTCAGGCAAGGCTGACCAGGGGCTAGCAATTCTATGGCAGTGTTTTTTAAGAGCCATAATTAACTATAGCTAATAAAGGCTATCTTATCATTGTAGTATTTAATTCTCACTAGGACCCATTTTTTTTCCCCATTGAACAGTTACAGAAACAAACCCACAGAAGTTAAGCACCTTATATGAGGTTACAAAGCTAGCTAGGGGCCCAACCTGAGTTACACAGAAATCAGCTCATTTTTAAGCCTCATGGCTTTTTGTCTAGTATGTTGCACTGCCTCTAAAAAGTTATTTGAAAAATTAGAACATATTGCCTAATTTAGGATCATAGACTATCCAGCTGTGGTATTGTCTAGGCCCAGGGGTATCCAACCTTTTGGTGTCTCTGGGCCACACTGAAAGAAGAAGAGTTGTCTTGGGCCACACATTAAATACATTGTAACACATAATCACAAAAACATCTCATAATGTTTTAAGTAAATTTACTATTTTGTGTTGGGCCACATTCATAGCCATCCTGGGCCAAGTGCAGCCCACTGACTGCGGGTTGGACACCCCTGGCTCTAATCTGAAATCTGAGATCCTGAAAGGTCAACTGTGACTTGTCATAGCTCACACAGCTAGTGAGTAGCCTGATCTGGTTCTTTGAATCCTAGTTCAGTGCTCTCCCCTCCTCCCCATCAGTGAGTGTCAGGCCCAAGCAACACAGACCTAATCTTCTGAAAGCACCTTCTATTTTCTAACATTATTGCAAGACAATACCTTAGAGTAGCAGTGGGTAGCATTACACATTTATTCTTCTACTGGCAGACCTGCCTTTCCCCCCATGGTATTGTTATGCTTACTTTTGGTGACACTCCTACCTTTTTATTAACTCCTAATGATGCTGATTTTGAAAATATCTTATATCAGTCATCAAACATCACTATTAAACTTAGTTTTAATTTGACCTCCAATTAAAGATAGATTTGCTCATTTTAATCCACATTATCAGTTATGTCTGTTACACAAAAGAAACTTTTAAAAACAAGTAAATCTAGAAAGCCTTTGCGACAGAGCTGAAGGAGGGTGGAAGGGAATGTATATCTTGTTCTTTTTTAATACCTTCCTGGGTATTGGTGCTCACCTAATTTGTTCGAATTTGAAAAGGTTTTTACTGAGGAATCCTGGAGGCGGGGCTCATCCCTGGAGGAAGAAAGGACAGAGGCTCAGAGGATCTCAGTCTCCAGGAGGAGATGGGGCTCTGGGAGAAGGTCAAGGCCTCGACCACTCTCAGACTACGGGCAGCTGGCCAGCCGAAGTCTGTCTATTCCTGAAGACTCCATTGCTGTGGACCCCCAGAAGGAGGATATTGTGGACAGTGGCTACCAGCTGAGCATGGCCTCCATGGTGCCTGCAGGCCAGAAGGCTGCCTTGTGCTGCTCTAGAGGAGGCCAGAGAAGACGCCCCATCTCTGTGATAGGTGGGGTCAGCTTCTGTGGGAACAGCCAGACAGAAGCAATAGAGAATCTTCTAACCCAAGTAAGATCTGGTGTGCTCCCACCAAAGCCAGCAGAGCCCCCAGCTTCCTGGCCTCTGTTCTCCCCTGCAAACTGAACTGGACGCTTTCCTTTCACCTATTCTCACTCAGGGATGATGTCATCTCACAACCTTTCTTCCTGACTTTGCAAGCTATACTTATTAAAACTAATCAAAGACTAATCACCTGACACTTGGATGTGTTTTACTAATCTTCTGTCTTTTCTGGGATCTTGCATAATACATGAAATTAGTTTGCTGTTTATTCTAAATCATCTGAGATTTGAACAAGAGGAAAGTAGCAGTGCGTATTTAATGAGCTTCCTGAAAGAAAAAAATTCTTAAAAGAGAAAGCATCATTCACTGTTAACATGTAAAGATAAGAAATAAATAAAGAAGTCGATTTTTTAGGAGATAAGAAATAATTTTTTTCACCATTTTCTTGCTTTTGAGTTGTAGCTTTCTAACTGCTTTGACAATAGATTAAAATCTTAATATCATTTCCTTAGTATAATGTAGAAATTTAGCAAGTATTTGTCAATTAACCAAAAAGCTCTTTGAGGACACAAAACTTTTAAATAAAGGCCCTGTTTCTGTTATTTGATGAAACTAATACACCACCCATGGTCCAATGTTCACAGAACAGTACATGAGTAAGTGCCCAGTTTCATATTTTAAACTTGCTAGCTGATATCATAACCATAAAATTCTCTAAAAAGGAAAGTCTATATTGGTACAAGATTTTGTTTACATTCTGCCTGTAAAGCCCAATACAATGCCTTGTTTATATAGCAAACACTTAAAACACTCTCGCTTAATTGAATTAATTTGAATTGAATTCTTAAGGTAAAAACAAAATAAGTTGAAAAATACCAGAAACCTTTTGATGTGTTAAGAAGCACTACATGCCAGGAAATAATTCTGAACTAAAGCAAACTGTAATCTCTTAATTCAAAACACAGTATAGGGAAGATCAAAAGCATCTAGAAATCATTTCACTTTAAGGCATGAAAAAGAAGTATAGCCAGATAACTTTTGCACTGTAAGCTCATTGAGGGAACTAGGTGGAAAACCTAAGGAAGGCATGAACCAGCTTGGCCTTCGCAGTTATAGGGATTGTTAATATGGATGATCAAAAGGGCACACAGTTGATTTTATAGACCAGGGTAAATTTGCAGAAAACTAGCTCTTCTTTTAAACAAAGCCCTATTGTGATGTTAGTTTAGGTAAACAAAAATTGTAGTCCACAGATACTTCACTGGCATCTGCACACAGATGAGCAGGAGACCCAAGTGAGTAGCTGGGCTGCAAATGGCCACCCTGGCATGGTTTGGCACTGCTCCTACAAACACATCTTCTTAACCTTGTGACTCTGCATCTCTGTGAGAAAGCCACCACTTCCTAAATTTGCTTTTCCTCCTTTTAGCTGACACTTTGCTTTCACTGAGCATTGCCTATTGGTATGTTGTTGACAGAGAAGATGAAACGTGACTCTGTGAGGTAAGTAAGGGCCGTGGGTTGATACTGATTTGTTTAAACATCGGAATAATTTATTGCAATTGAGCCTCTGCAGCCTGAAGCTTTGATACCCTTTGGAGAAACCATATCTGTGAGTAGCTTCAAGGTGCGAATGCTGAGCTCCTTGCAGCTGTGCGTGCGAAGAGCTTATAGGAGCTGCCACTTCCTGGCATCTTTTCACAGCCTCTTGCTTTCTTTCTTAGCCTGCAGCCAGGCCTCCTGTGCCAGCTCACCAGGTGCCACCCTACAAAGCAGTTTCTGCCCGGCTCCGGCCATTCACATTTTCCCAGAGCACCCCCATTGGGCTGGACCGCGTAGGACGCCGGCGGCAGATGAGAGCATCCAACAGTAAGTCTCACAGGCTCTGGCTTGGGGTGTTCCTGTTCAGAAACTGGGGTGGAAGCCTCACTTTGACACTCTAGTTCAACTGAGGTGCCCAGCAGACTGTGGACTTCTGGACCAGGGTGTTGTTTGCCTGATAGTGAGGAAGGCTCATCTCAGGAGCTGGGCTTGTCGTCAGCTGTTCAAGGAGGGTGCTGTCTGGGAACTCTGCATCGTTACAGTGACCCTAATGGGGCACTTGCTCCTCTTATGATGTCTGTGTGCCTCCGTGTTCCTTCAAGAAGAGATCTGACCGAGAATGGAGTCCCAGTGATTCACCTTAACCTTTGTGAAGCTCTTTAAATGACCTCTGGATATTTAAGATTCACAAACTGTTTTGAACACTAAAGAATAGTTCTCTAATATAGTAGTTAATGTGTTATCATAGCACTTACCCACTTGTTGATTTTCATTAATACTGCATGTTTTGAGAATGATGTTTAAACTTCTAAAAAAACAACCTTCTGCTGCACTGGCATTTATGTCAGTGCCAGTCAGCCGGGTGGACTGTGGCGTGGTTCTGGGTGCTCTGGATGAGAGTAATAGCCAACATCTGCTGAGCACTTACATATGGCAGACAGCATCCGTGAGCTCTGATGTGTTCACTCGTGTGGTCTTCTTAACTCTGTGCTATGGTGGATACTATTATTGTTCTCATTTTACAGATTGAAAAGCCCAGAGATAAACAGGTAAACTACCCTAAGTAACTCACCCATGGAGTGGCAGAAATGGGCATAATCAGTCAAACTGAATTTTCAGTACAAGGCCCATGTTTTAAGCACTGAACTATGCTGACTATTTAAAGAAATGCCTTAGACTATTAATGATTGCAGCTTTAATTGCTTGATTTACTGTCATACTTTTAAAAACGAGTATCATGTGGTGAGTATGAGAGTGGTGAACTGGGCGGTAGGAAGCCTAGACCTGAGTTCTGATTCCCTGCCGCTAGCCCACCGTGTGGGCAAGTTCTTCCCATGAGGGTGGTGAATGAAGCTGTATGAAGGGAGAGGTTTAAATAAGGTTTTTTCAAAAGACTTGAGAGAGACGACCATTTCAAGGAAAGGGTGTGGGGAACCAGGATCGGTGAGAGAAGGGACTGGAGAACAAAGATGTGTGGAATCAGTGCTCAAGGGAGGCATTCTAAAGACAGGGATAACAAGAAGGTCACTGATGGATCTGACAGGAAGTTGTTGAGATGGTTGTCCTGGGAGGGCCAAACAAAGTGTAAGAGGTCAGAAAATTGGTGAATGATGAAGAACTATTACCACCCTTAAGAATGTTGCCATAGTATCTGATTCATGTCACACATATTTGGAGGAATCAGGGCTAGACAGAGACAAAAGGCAAAGAAAAATTAAATGCCAGCCCTGACCTATGTGGCTCAGTGGGTTGGGCATCATCCTACAAAGTGAAAGGTTGTTGATTCGATTCCTGGTCAGGGTACATGCCTGGGTTGTGGGCCAGGTCCCAGGTTGGGGGCGTGTGAGAAGCAACCAACTGATGTTTCTTTCACACATTGATGTTTTTCTTCCTCTCTTTTCCTCTCCCTTCCATTATCTCTAAAAATAAATAAATAATTTAAAAAAAAAGAAATTAGATGGGAGCTAGAGTTTGAGGAAATTTGTAAACATCTCAAGCCCAGATGTACAAGAGAGAGCCTGATTCTAGGAAGTATGCCTGTGACTCCTCCTGTCACAGGTGCTTTTGTCATTCTCTCAGGGGAATCGGGTGAACACCTCAGATTCATTACTCCCCTCATTCATGGTCACTAGGTCCAGTCCTTAGCATCCCCCTGCTTCTCAGGCTCTGTAACTCTTACTCTCAGCAGCTGCTCCTCTCCCATCACTTTCTTGGGCTGGACTTTTATACATTCTCTGATCAGAGCTACTGTTCACATTCAACTCTTGCTTTGTTATTTCCTTGCAAACTTTCCTCACCATCATTGGAACAAAGTCCTAGTTCCTTAAATGAGTTTACAGGTTTCTCTGCAACCCCAGTCTAATGTCCCATCTATTTCTCTCATTTCTCTTGTCCGAGCTTACCATTCAGTGTTCCCACTGTCTACTCCAGGCTCTCATGCTCCCTTTGCTCCAGTTTGCCTAGAATTTCCTTCTTTTCCTTTACCATATGTCTGTGTCTTTCCATTTGAAATTCAAAACTCATTCCCTGTCTACCCTTGGCAACGAAGTAAATTTGTTGTCATACTCCTACAAAGCAGTTCAGCCACAGGTTTCATGTTCATTCTCCCTGATCCAGGCATCAACTTCTGGTGATGTATTGTGAGAAAGTTCTTCAAAAGGAGAAAAAAACTGCATGCAAAGAGGTTCTCCACAACATCGTTTGTGATAGCAAAAAGTTGAGCGGTGTCAATGTCCAGCTATAGTGGACTATTGAGTTGAAGTCACAGATGGGTGACTACTTCCAAATAGTTAGTTTACAACATAATTAGGACAAACAAGTAACAGCATGAAAAAGGAATGCTATAATTTTAGAGTGAGAAAAAAAATGGAAAGAAAATTATACGTATATTAGTTTGCTAGGGCTTCCATAACAAAGTACCACAAGCTGGGTGGCTTAAATAGTAGAATTTCATTGTCTCAGTTCTGGAGGCTGGAAGTCAGATCAAGATGTTGGCAGGGCTGATTCCTTCTGAGGGCTGTGTGGGAATCTGCCAGCCTCTATGTGAAGGTGAAAACAGTGTGGTTAGGGTGCTAGGACTGGAGGTGATTTTTCCTCCAACCCAATATACATACAAACTGCTTCTTTCTGTACTTTCTGTGTTGGCTTTGTTTTGATTTTAGTGTTCTTTTCTCAAGGCAACAAATGAGTAGCTTAAGCAAAAAGAAAATTCACTGGAAGGGTGTCAGGTGTTCCCAGAATTGATAGGATAGGTGGAGAGCCAATCTGGAAATGTGTCAATCTGGAAATGGATGCCAGTCAGGGTTCCTTCTGGGAACCAAGGAACATAAGGGAAGGAGCCAAAGAAGGTGTGTAGCAGGACTCTGGCTGTAGTGCTACCCCTGGGAATGAGTGAAGGCCAATCACTCCTTCTGTCCTGGGATAGAGGATTCAACTCACAAAGCTTACTGACGTGTCCACCTCCTGGTGGCACTGGAACAGGGAGAGGTATTGGATGCCTCCAGGGACCCCTTGACTTTTGTATTAGAAAGCAGGTGCATGGAGACCCTATCCACTAAGGTGGAACACAGTGGAATGAGGTCCTTTCCCTGAAGAAAGTCCAGGTGGTGTTAGAAGTGGAAATAGATTCTGGACTGGTACTCCATTTGTTCATTCCCACATTTAATAACTATTGAGTATGTACCATGTGTCAAGTAACAGCAGTGAAAAAAACAAAGTCCCTTAAATCACTTACAATCTAGTGAGGGTATTAATAAATTGGCTGGTAATTGTATAACATGGCAGGTAATGCTGTAAAGAAAAATAAAGCAGGGTAGAGAGTATTCATTTTTAAAAGAACATTATTCTAACATGATGTACCTTTTCCCTATATAATTAAAAACTGTCTCCTTCTCCAGAGGGAGATAACCCAAAGGCTCATCAGCTACTGAAAACATTTCCCAGTAATATTCACTACTTCTCCATGCCTATTGGAAGGTCTGTTTAAGTTTTATACCCAGAAGTAAATTTAAGCAATGCACCCTTATCATAATGGGAAGAGGTAAGAGAGAAAAGGTGTTCCCAAGTAGAAAATAAGTAGAAAATATAAGTAAACAGTATGTACACATACACAGTTCCACAGAAAGGGGGTTTGTCTTGCCTTGGGTCACAAGGCCATATGTGCCATTTTTTACTTTGCTCACTGAGTTGCCCTTGCATGCTGCCCTTGTACTTGACACTGCACTGTCCTTTGCCAGCTGACGTGGTCCAAACTTTTACTTTGTAGGTTTCCAAGCTGTTAGTGGTCCTGTTTGCATAGAATGGCCACAATCTCCTCCCCCCCCCCTTTCAGTTCATCAAAAATCAGTCTACAAAAAATGTGTAGAGCATCAACTATGCACCAGGCACTAGTTTCACCATTTGGAAACCAGCAGAGAATAAAGCATCACAAAAAGTTTACATTCTAGATTTAAACAGATTCAATAAGTCAATCAATAGCATTATCTCAGGCACTAATGACTGCTCTGGAGAAGATGAATGTGGGTAATGTGGTAGAAAGCAAGTGGAGCAGGAGTGGCAGAGGGCGACCTAATGCTCTAAAGAGGTGACATTGGTGTGCGGGCTTGAAAGGTGAGCAGGATATAAAGGTCTTAGGGAAGAGAGTGCCCAGTGGAAGGAACATCAGAGGACTACATATAGGCAAGAACTTGATGCATCTGAGGGTCAGGGAGAAGGCCCGAGTGACTGGAGCACAAGTAACAAGGGCAGGAGAGGAGGGCATTGCATCCAGGAGGTTGTCTGTGGGTAGACAGAAAGGGCATTGCGGGTCCCAAGAAGGAGTTGGGTTTATTCTAAGTGAAACGTGAAGCCACTGCCAGCAGGGACATGGCATGTTCTGACTCCCACTTTAGAGAGGACACATAGTCTGAGGAAGAAAAGGCAGAAGAAGGGGACTGATTTGGAGGTCATTGCCTTAGTCCCATTGAGAAACAATTGTGACAGTGACCACAAAAGACATCTATGTGTTCCTTGGGTGCTCATTTTTCCAGCGCACAGGGAGCTTACCATGGCCAGCCTTGGATCTAACCTAGTAGTGCCAAACCTGTGAATTCTGGCAGCAGTGCTTCTCCCTTGGGGGAATAAATTTAGTTTTGACAGAGCAGAGTTAGTGGATGGGAATAATATATTTTGCAAATATATTATTAAGTAACCATAAGAAATATGCCTTGTGTTTATCCTTTGTTTCTGGCTCCTTATATTCTGTCTACAAGTGATCATCTCTACATCAGTCAGTGAGTCAGAGCACTCTCCCCATCCAGGACAGCACTACAACCTCAAGACATGTCTCC